CAGCTGTTCTTTTGCACTTTCCAAAGCCAATGGTTTCGGTTGCAGCTGTGCGTAAGGAGTTTAAAATGCCGTCCCACAGTTCCCTTATACCGAGTTGTTGACGAGTGCTCTCAGAGAGCAGGAATGCAAGCCGAGTAGGAAATCGTTCGGCTGTCTGTTGTGATTGCAGATCGACGTCGAACCTTCCTTGTGTTTGATGGCGTGCGTTTTTTACTGCACAGAGGCGGGTGCGAATCTTGGCTGCAAGTAGTTTTTCGATCCGGAAACAGCCAGGTAGCTTGATGAATCTTCTTATGCTGGAATGTAGTACTACAGATAATCATATTTCGGGCACTGGCGAAGTCGATCAGCCTCAACCCATTTGAGCGCGCAAATCAGCGATATGTTGAAGAACCTCGCTTTGATGCGGATTGTGGCTAGACGTTCATTCACCGAAGTGAATCCCACACCAAACTTGCGCTCCTTTATATGGTCACTGTAGTAAGTGCCACAAGGACCTACTCGTCTCCGTCCCGGTCCCGTCCATCGCAATTCTTGGACGGCGGTTATGCCTTTATTTTTAGGAGGACACATCAGCTATCTGGGCAGCGGCACCTTCCCAATTAAAGGACCCTACATTCCAGGTGCATGCCCTCAATTCGTAGTCCTTATTTCGTTTGCCATGGTCGTCATCAAAAGTGGGGTCTCTCATCCGAGGCTGTTGTTCCGTTTTCCTTGGGGTCGTTTTTTTACGTGGCGGGTCCCATACCCAGCGCACAACCCTATGCAGGGGATATTTCGCCTTCTCACTTCAAACGGATGTTCTTAGGCTACATAGAGGATACTTGGTCAAGGACCGGAAGTCGTGAGCTGCTTGAGTCATATGTAAAGGAATCGTTTTTGGCCACTCCCAAGTGATTGGCGATCAGAGAACTTTCCTCACTCGCGTGACTTCTACACATGACTCCATCCTTTAAGTACACATGTTGGATTAAAGCATCGTCGTTTTGGAGATATCGCTTTTTTGTTGCATTATCGGATAGTATCCACTGTAATAAAAATGCGGCCGCAATCGTGGACATCGCACACGATTTTTCACGTTTCATTTTAACAATTTATTTAACTGACACATACGAGCGCCAAACCCTTTGAGGGTTTTACTATACTGACCTAGTACCATCACCCTGACTTGGAATTTCTCACCCCCCAGATTAGCTGTTGTACTGTGTTAYACACCTAATAAATAAACATAAGTTTAAAAAGCGTTTGAAATTCGACATGTATGTATTTATTTATTTAAAAAAGAAATAGGATCTATTAATTAATATCAACTATAAAAAAATCGCGAATTGCTGCATGTCTTTGACCAAATACCCTCTGAGTAACCAGAAAATATCCGCCACGTAAAAAACACTACGAATGAAAAGCGTAAACAGCCTCGAATAAGAGATCCCCCTTTTGATGACAACCTTGGCATACGCACTAAGGATAACGATTTAAAGACATGCACCTGAAATGTCCGGTCCCTTAATTGCAAAGGTGTCGCTGCCCAGCTGGTTGATGTTAGAATGAAAGCTGACATCTCCGGACATGGACAGGACTGAGGCGAGTAGGTCCTTGTGGCATTTTCTACAGTGTTCATATAAAGGAGCGCAACTTTGGAGTGGGATTCGTGGTGGGAGAGAGAATMMGTCGTCGAGTACAGTCATTCACACCGGTGGATGAACGTCTAGCCACAATCCGCAAAATAGCGAAGTTCTTCAACATATCATTGATTTGCGACCACAACCCGACGGAGGTGAGGACGATGTGACCAAAGATGCCTTCTATGAGCGCTTGGAGCGCAACAGTCGGTAAATTCAGCCTCCACGAGGAAGCATTCCCATATGGGTTGAGGCGCCCGGACCCGAAATATGGTCATCTGTAGTACTARATTCCAGCATCGAAAAACTCTTCAAGGTACCTGGCTATCTCCGGATCGAAAAACTACCAACAAACATGTCTCCAGTGTTTTAGACGGCGGACGCTCCGGGGCCTTAACATCGACTCGCACCCGTCTCTGTGCAACAAACAACACACATCAACACACACAAGGAAGATTCGACTTCGAGAAGCTGCAATCACAAGAGACAGGCGAACTATTTTCTACTCGGCTTGCATTCCTGCTCTCTGAGAGCACTCGTCAACAACTCGGTATAAGGGATCTGTGGGACGGCATTTTAAACTCCTTACGTACAGCTGCAACCGAAACCATTGGTTTTGGAAAGTGCAAAAGAACAGCTGGTACGACGAAGAGTGCCGTGTCGCCGCGGAGAGAAAACAAACTGCCTACCTCGCAACGTTACGATCGGACCGATCAGAATTCATAAAGAGGTAGACCCCACAATCGACGCCAACTTCCATGGGATACGTCTCCTAAACATCGTTTATAAGGTTCTATSGAGCGTATTGTGTGAAAGATTAAACTAATACGGTGTACGGGTAGCCGTGTAAACTGACGTGAAGCAAAACCAAAAGCTCCGTCAGGAACGGTAAAGAGCTCTCCGAGCCATTCGATTCCAAACGAGGATTCAGACAAAGCGACTCCCTTTCGTGCGACTTCTTCAATTTACTCTTGGAGAAAATAATTCGAGCTGCAAAAACTAAATAGATAAATATCTCCTCTCATCGAACAAACAGGCGTCGCAGTCATAACTTCGAAGTTGTAGATAACTTCGTCTTTTTTTGAACCAGCATTAACAGCAGCAATAATGTCCGATCTGAATGCAACGCAGAATAACCCTTGCCGACAGTTGTAACTTTGGACTGAGTATAAAATTGAGAAGTCCTCTCCCGACGAACAGAAACAAAACTCTATAAGAGGCATGAATGAAGACAACATCTGATGAGTCGGTCTTAGAAGATTTCGGGAGAAAGGTTCTGCGAAAGATTTATGGTCCTATGCACGTTGACCGCGGCGAATATCGCATTCGAAGACACGATAAGCTGTATGCCGACGACATTGACATATTATAGTATAGCGAATTAAGAGACAGCGGCTATGCTGGCTAGGTCATGTCGTACGTATGAACGAAAACTAGCTCTGAAAGTATTCGACGCAACGGTTGAAACAGAGGAAGAGGAACCCCTCTACTTTGTTTTAAAGACCAGGTGGAGAAGGACCTAGCTACGCTTGGAATCCCCAATTGGCGCCACTTTGCGAAAAAAAGAAACGACTGACGCGCTGTTGTTAACTCGGCTATAATCGCGTAAGCAGTGTCTACGCCAGTAAAAAAGAAGATATATGGGACGACGAGACGAGTTGAAATCCAGG